ACATAAGTACAGATGAGGATGATGAAAATATTATTTAGTTTAGAAGGTATTTGTTCATAAACCAAAGTATTGGACAAATTCATATTTTGAACTGATGATAGTACTAGATGAAAAGTTATATGATCATCAAAATTATTATGATTCATTCTCTGGGGACCACAAGTGTCTGTACACGTTTGCAGTGCAGCTGTTTAGAAATTTTAGTCTGGACCAAAGATGTGGACCGACAGACAGACGGACATTATATATCCTTGCAGCTAGCAAGGCTAAAAAGCCACCTTGTCATCATGCCTTTTTACTGAAAGAGATTGATCAGGGGGATGCTTTTTCTGAAACTACAGTACCTATTCTTAAATTGGGTTTCTCAAATAAAGGGCCAAACACACACACATTCTGTCTGGACAGATCACGCATGAGAGTGAATGATATTCAGCCGTAGTCACAAAGTAGCCAAAGGTAAAGGAAAAAGATTCTGCCTGCTGCCAGAATAGCATGTTTACCATGCAAGCTGCTAAACCTAAACCCGAGCTTGGGTTTCACTTTCTCCTGCAGAAGAGCCAGAAATGAAACAACTCTTTCCACCACTGAATAACCCACAACTCATCCAGCTGTGCTGTTATACTGTACCAAGAGCAAGATACTATCATCCTTTCTCAAAGGAAACCTCTTCATGGTAATCTTTGCCTGAATCTTGTTTGCACTTTTATGTAACAAACACGATCAGTCAACTGTGATCAAACACACATTGTAAAAGATGGAAGATTTTGATTTGCCTGATTTGTGGAAATAGGGAAGTGACGCTGGCTAATTATACACACAATGGGCTAACCCAGCCACCTGTTACTTTCATCCCATCACCTTAGAGCTGATCATCAATGTTAAACTTCTTTCAGTACTCCATCAAACTTGAGAACAGAACTCGTGGCAGGACCTCTTGTGAATCTCTCCTGAACAATGTTCTCCCATCTAGTGAGTATCATTTATCTTTGTTCATATACTGTATTGTATTATAGTTGCATTTATAAGCAGTGAAGTGGCAGGTTGGCTTTGTTTAGAAGGGCTGTAAACTTCATGGAGAGGTGGAAAATGAGAAGCCAGCTTGTACCAGTTGCTAGTTGTGCTACTAGTATATTTGTAATAACCTTACTCAAAATGTTGATTTTAGCATGCTTCATATGTACATTGTGTGTCTTTTCTTGGTTATGTAACTGTATCAGCTTTCCACCTGCATGTAATTCTCAGTGAACTCCCTGTGCTTCTATACAGATGTGTGTGGCACTGCTGGGCCTGTGGTGTTGCCTCTCCATGTCAACAGCTAGCGTCTCTTACCCAAAAACTCTGCCATGCGATGTCGTCGAGGACAACAACGGCAGCGTGGTGACGGTCGACTGCACTGAGAGAAGCCTCAAAGATGTCCCCCGAGGTATCCCGAGAGACACAACCAACCTGACGCTCACCATCAACCATATTCCTAAATTAAACTCCACCTCCTTTAGCGGTCTGGACAACCTGGAGGAAATTGACATGCGGTGCAACTGTGTGCCAATCAAAATCGGGCCCAAGGACCGCATGTGCACTGAGAGTGTGATAATAGAGGAAAACACCTTTACCAGCTTGAGGAACCTTCGATCACTGTATCTAGATGGCAATCAGCTCTACTCTATACCCAAAGGCCTCCCTCAAAACCTGATCCTGCTGAGTTTGGAAGTGAATCACATTTATAATATTTCTAAAGTAAACCTCTCTGAGATTAGAAATATTGAGATGCTGTACCTCAGTCAAAACTGTTATTACCGTAACCCATGTAATACTTCCTACGGCATAGAGGATGGTGCATTTTTACAGCTAAACAATTTAACATTGCTGTGTCTTAAGTCAAATAACTTATCCTTTATTCCACATCAACTACCCACAAGTCTGAAGGAGTTGTACCTCTACAACAACAACATCGAAGTAGTCACTGATGAGGATTTCAAAAACTTAACTAACCTTGAGATTCTGGATATTAGCGGAAACTGTCCACGATGCTACAACGCTCCTTTCCCATGCGATCCGTGCCCAAATAATTCCCCACTTAATATCAGCAAGACGGCTTTTAAAATGTTGAAAAAGCTAAAGACGCTGCGCCTGCACAGTAACTCGCTGACATGTGTGCAGTCTGAGTGGTTTGCCAGCACAACAGAGCTGAGAGAGCTCGACCTCTCGTCAAACTTTTTAGCACGAGCGATAGGAGTCACGGACTTCCCACGATTCCTGGGCAAACTGGAAGAATTGGACCTTTCATTTAACTATGAGCTTCAGAAGTACCCTCAAACACTGAGGCTGAGCTGCAGTTTCTCCTCCCTCAAATCCCTTCGAATCCTCAGACTGAAGGGCTTTGTGTTTCAGCAGCTACTGCCAGAGAGCATTGCTCCTTTAAAACCCCTCACAAACTTGGAGGTGGTAGATCTAGGTACAAACTTCATTAAAATGACAAACCTAAGTATTCTGATGGAACTCAAAAGCTTTAAAATAATCAGTCTGTCTGACAACAAGATTTCTTCCCCCTCCGACGCCCTGGATGGTGTCGGTTTTTCTGGGGGAGAGCCCTTGAGCTGGTCTCCCATGTCGGCTGCAGCGCAGTACCAAAGTAAGGAAGTGAGAGAGATTCATTACTTCAGATATGATGAATATGCACGCAGCTGCAAATACAAAGATAAAGAACTTGGAACAGTTACATCCTTTGTCAACAAGAATTGCAGTCAGTTTGGCAAAACCCTGGATGTGAGCAGAAACAACATATTCTTCTTGCATTCAAGATTTTTGAATCTCGGAGAGCTGCGATGCCTCAATCTGTCCGGCAATGCAATGAGCCAAAGTCTGAACGGCTCTGAATTTACATATCTGACTAATTTACAATATCTAGACTTCTCCAACAATCGCCTGGATCTGCTCTACTCCACTGCGTTTCAAGAGCTGAAAAGTCTGGTCATCTTAGATATAAGCTACAACAACCATTACTTTGAGTCAGAGGGCTTGACTCACATGCTCAATTTTACGAGGAATTTGAAAAATCTCAAGATATTGCTCATGAACCACAACCAGATCTCTACTTCCACTAACACTGGGCTGGAGAGTGAATCCCTGGAGAGGTTAGAGTTCAGAGATAACCGGTTAGATGTGTTGTGGAGAGACGGGTACACTAGATACTTCAATTATTTCAAGAATTTACTCAATCTGACTGTCCTCGACATCTCTCATAACAACCTCAATTTCATTCCACCGGAAGTGTTCAGCGGTTTGCCAGACAAACTATCTGAGCTCTACATCAAAAACAACAAACTAAAAGATGAATCATTTAATTGGGAGAAACTACAGCTTCTACAATCTTTGCAAGTCTTAGATCTCAGTGGAAACAGTTTGACTACTGTTCCACCCATGCTGTCAATCTGTACCAAATCCCTAAAGAAGCTCCTTTTACATAAAAACCAAATCGTAAAAATTACGCCAGATTTCCTTAAGGATGCCTTCAACTTAAAATACCTGGATCTTAGTTATAATCACATACAGCACATTGAGAAATCCAGCTTTCCAGATGACGTCGTTGATAAGATGGACAAGCTGCTTCTGCACAATAACAGATTCCTGTGCACGTGCAATGCCACTTGGTTTGTCACATGGCTCAACAGGACCACAGTGACCATCCCCAGACTGGCCACGGACGTTACATGCGCTAGCCCAGGGGCACAGAGAGGTCATCCTGTGATCTCAGTGGACCTGCTGGCCTGCCAGCACAGCTACCTGTCAATCATCCTCTCCACCCTGATGACTTCCCTCGTCCTCAGCTTCCTCACACTGTCAGTCTCCAGCCACCTCTTCCTGTGGGATGTCTGGTACATCTATCACTTCTGCAGGGCAAAGCTCAAAGGTTACAGCCGCCTGTACTCCCAAAGCTCTGCCTATGATGCCTTTGTGATATATGACAAGGAGGACTCGGCGGTGACAGAGTGGGTGATGAAGGAAATGTGCGCTCATCTGGAGGAACGCGGGGACCGACGCCTGACGCTGTGTCTGGAGGAACGGGACTGGATCCCTGGATGCCCCCTGATCGACAACCTCTCCCAGAGCATCCACAACAGCAAGAGGACAGTGTTCATCCTCACCAGCAAATACCTCAAGAGTGGCAACTTCAAGACAGCTTTTTACATGGCCAACCAGAGGCTGATGGATGAAAGAAACGACGTGATTGTATTGATCTTCTTGGAGAAAGTACCTTGGAATTCAAAGTATCTGAGATTAAGGAAGAGACTGTATAGGCGGTCTGTGCTGGAGTGGCCAACAAACCCTCAAGCCCAGCTGTACTTCTGGTTCAGCCTGAGAAGTGTTTTAGCAACTGAAAGTCACAAACAATACAACAGTCTATTCAAAGAGACACTGTAAAAAAACAATATACTGTGATACTTAGTTCCTGCTTTAATTCAAGATTGCTCTGAATGTACTTCTTTATATGAATTACAATGTGTGAACAACAACCCACTCTTTAACCCCCGTGCTCCCAGGGACCAGGTCCCTGCAGTCACCAGAGGTTCACTTTTTGTCATATCTCACAGGATCATTTCAATGTTTATCAATCAATTGTTTTCCAATGACTTCATATCACTGCTTTCTGTTCCTGTTTTACATTGTGCTTTTTAAAATGATAATTTTAAATACAAATGTACTGTATTGGGGTCACGGTACACAATAGAGTCTCTTTGCCATCTCCACAGAGAATAATCATTTTCACTTTGATGAAGCAACAAACCTGCAAACAAATGAAAAGGGGAAGTGGAACAGATTCACTTCTTTAATTCACATGCTACTTCTTCCCCACAGACTTGTTGTGAGCACCAGACAGTTTGTTGCTTTTGTTTGACTTCAGCAACAAGTTTTTTTTTTTTTATATATATATTTTAAATGCTTTACATATAAAAAAGTAAGAACCCAGTCTAGACATATTTTTTTAACAAATAGTTCATTTTCAATTTTACATGAAAGAGTGCCAGGGTCAATGTTTTTCAAGTTTGTCTTAAGGAATCACAGTGCATGCACAATGGTGAGTTTTATTGATACGTTTCTCTGAACTTTATTTGTAATATTTGCTCGTTGTATAGCATAGAATAGATATATCTTCTGAAAGTATACCAAACGTTTTACTAAGACTTATTCTTTGTCGGGGTGTGTTAGGGATTTCCTGGTTACCTGCATGTAATTTTTAATTGGATGAGTAATGTAATCTGTAATGACTTTGTGCTTCTGTGATTAACTTTATGGCCCTAGATAATACTTGGCTTAACTGTGTATACTTTGACTCATTGAAAACTGTTTAGTGGCATTTCTGATTATGGTGTGATCTACAGTAAATAATACATTAAACGTTATTCACAACTGTGTGGAAAACAAACTATATCCTATCATCTTTATTCTATCAGTATCCTTTTCCATTGTTCCGGTAGTAACAGTTAAGGAGCGGTCTGTCAGTGGACTTGTGATTACTAACTCATGCCGCACAGCCAGACATTGTTCAAACCCACAGAAACTTATTTTAAATTCTCGTTTACAAAGATACCATGAAATGGCTAAATGTCTAAAATAATTCACAAGATTATTTCAATTAGATGGAAGGTGCATCCATATTTCACTCACTGTAAAGACCACAGCCTCAGTAAAGAGCTGGAACTAGTCACATGCACAGAATATATATCTGATACTGTCTCTCACTGTGAAACACTCTCAACAACCTACAGCAGCTTATGGAGAATAAAAGGAAAACCAGATGTTAAAGTGAGAATATGTAGCTTTCGGAGGAAGAAATGATTTACTTAGTTACATCGTCTGGCTGTAAGGGGTTTAACATAATTCATAATTCAAACTGCCAAGAGCAGTTATTCCAGTTGAGTGATATTTAAACTGCATAGAGCTGCCACCTGCTGGTTACAAGTGGTACTATTCGGAAAAGTAATTTTCAATACTTTTAGGACAGGTTCATAATTTGTCAGGTCTGTCGTAAAACATTAGTCGGGTGCCCACATGAACATTGCAACAGGTTTTGCTTGCTGTAATCATACCTTCTAACTATTGTTTAGAGACATTGCGAAACCCATCCTTTAATAAAACACAAAATGCATGACATACTGTATGAAATAATGTCTGTTTATATACATGTTTATGAAATACTCCATTTCACCAATTCTATTGTTCACCTACAGACTGTCACACGTTGGATGCACTTGCTGCTGTTCTGTCTGTGTTGCCATTATGAGATCCAGCTTGCTGCATGCAAACCTGCGTGGATGAAATCGCAGTTCCCTTGTGATGTCACAGCGGACAATACCTCTACGGTCCGATTTGACTGTGAAGGGCGTCATCTGAAAATAGTACCTTCTGGGATAACCACTAACGCTACTGAACTTAACTTATCAGACAACTACATTAAGAATATTTCGGCTGATTCGTTTTCCAGCCTGCTGAATCTGACTCAACTCAATCTCAGCAGGGCAAACATGGACCACGCAGTGATCATTGCTGCGAATGCTTTCAAAAATCTGACAAAACTGCGAGAACTGAGACTGACTGGCAACTATCTGAAAGAAATTCCCGGCAATCTCCCTCTCAGCGTGGAAATCCTCGACCTGAACAACAACCACATTTTTTTGTTGGATAACAGGAGCCTTGCTGGCTTACCAAACGTGACCCATTTAAGGTTATCCAGAAACTGCTACATCTGGAACCCTTGTGGGAAATCTGTTACGATTATGAAAGACAGTTTTGCAGTTATGAACAAGCTGCAGGTTCTGGACTTGTCTTCTAACAACTTAACAGAAGTTCCCAAAGGATTACCCCAATCATTAAGCATGTTAACGCTGGGTTCTAACAGAATCCAGCACATATCTGAAGATGATTTTTTGTGGCTACCGAATTTAAACGTCCTAAAAATAGAAGGAAACTGTCCAAGATGTCAAAATGCTCCATTTCCTTGTGTTTCTTGCAAAAACATGTCTCTTGGTATCCATCCTAATGCATTTCAGAATCTAACACAGCTCCTAACACTGAACCTGGGAGGAAACTCCCTGGACCACCTGAATCCCTCCTGGTTTGAGAAGCTGAACAAGCTTAAGCAATTGTTCCTGTCATTCAACTTCTTATTAAAAGCAATTACTGAGGAGGCAACATTTCTAAGATATCTCCCAAAGTTAGAAGTAATTGATCTCTCTTTCAACTTTGCCCTCAAATCATACCCCACGACATTAAATCTCTCAAAGGAGTTTTCAAATCTCGTGTCTCTCAGAACTTTGCATTTGGAGGGTTTGGTCTTCCAGAATCTTGAACTGGACACGCTCAGACCTCTGTACAAGCTCCAAAACCTGTCCGCACTGAACTTGGGGACTAACTTCATTATTCACTCTAATTCCACCATATTCAGCCAATTTATCGACCTGAAAATGATATACCTCGCAGAAAACAGGCTGTATCCCATCCCAGTGAGAAGTTCAAGTGACGGATACAATCAGGGGTCTGACCTCTCTATGTCACCGCTCGTAAAACCCCAGCCGAAAGATTTTGTTTATGAACTATCCCACGGCCTTATCAAACAAGAGTGCTTTGACTCTGGACGAGTGCTAATCCTCAGCTCAAATAATCTGTTCTTCATTTCTCTACAGCAATTTAAAGGCTATGAGAATATTGCATGTCTCAACCTCTCCAGTAATGGATTTTCAGCAGCACTTAATGGAAAAGAGTTCTCCTTGCTGCCTAATCTGACATACCTAGACCTTTCATTCAATAGGATTGATCTGGCCTATGACAATGCCTTCAAAGAACTAGATAAACTACAAGTGCTAGACCTCAGTAACAATGATCACTACTTTAAAGCATTTGGGGTAACGCATAATTTAAATTTTACAAAAAATCTGCCTGCTCTGAGGGTGCTGAATATGAGTCATAATTCCATTTCCACGTTGACAACAAAAATGATGCACAGCAAATCATTAACAGAACTTCAGTTCACAAATAATTTTCTCGGGACTCTTTGGAAAGAAAGTGACGTCTCGTATAAGATGCTTTTTACTAATCTTACTAATTTGAGAATTTTAGATATATCCTACAACAGCATTGTAAAGATTCCAGACAATGTTTATGAATATTTGCCGTCTAACCTCACCACACTACGCATAAATCACAATTATCTTACTGATTTTACATGGGACAAACTCACGTGTTTCCATCAACTTCAAATTTTAGAACTGAGTTTCAATTATTTAACTAATGTGACAGTTATAAAGGCAAACGTCTCTTTGACTTTCCTTGACCTGAGTCATAATCACATTATCCACTTGGACAATGGGTTTCTAAAGGGTGCAAAAAGCCTCACGACTCTTAAACTTAGCAACAACAAACTGACTATAATCAATCAATCCACCTTCCAATCCAGACCTGAATCTCAGATCCAGACTTTGTACATGCAGAGAAACCCGTTCCAGTGTACCTGTGATTCATTAGAGTTCATTGTGTGGATTGAAAACAGTGATGTAAAGATCCCTGGGCTGACCACCGAGGTGACATGCGACACACCGGCGAACCTGAACGGTCAAGCTCTGATCTACTTTGACATTAACCAGTGTGTAAATGACAGTCAGGCGTTCTTGATCTACATTCTGACAAATTCCTTCATTATTGTTTTCATGTTTGTGGCAACAGTTGCTCACTTGTTCTACTGGGATGCTTCCTACCTGTTTCACTATATGAAAGCTAAGCTGAAAGGATACAGATCCTTGAACTCACCAGACTGTGTTTATGATGTCTTTGTGACGTACGATACCAGAGATCCACACGTCTCCGAGTGGGTGATGACGAACCTGCGAGTGAAACTGGAGGAGGAAGGAGATAAGCATCTTCCTCTGTGTCTGGAGGAGAGGGATTGGGCCCCCGGAGCCCCACTGGTAGAGAACCTTGCTCAGAGCATCCGGTACAGTCGTAAGACCCTGTTCGTCTTAACCGAGGCTTATGTTAAGACCGGGGTTTTCAAGCTGGCGATGTGTCTGGCCCACCAAAGACTGCTTGATGAAAACGTGGACGTGATCGTGCTGCTGATGCTGGAACCCGTCCTGCAGCATTCTCACTTCCTGCGCCTGAGGAGGCGGATGTGTGCGAAAAGTGTGTTGGAGTGGCCAAGAACAGCTGCCGCAGAGCCCTGGTTTTGGCAAATCTTGAGGAATGTGGTCAGAGTGGACAACCAGGCGATATGCAACAAGACTTATAAAAAGTACTTTACCATAAAGTGAACCAATGACTACTGTCTGGGAATGATTTAGGCCTAACTTTAAAATGCTATATCTGGTGCCTTTTTAAATTGATTGTTCTATGTCAACTCTGATGTGGTCCTTCACAACTTGTATCACTCTGTCTGGGGTTAATTAAAGACAAATAAAGATATTGATTATGTTTTTTACAATGATACAGAATGTCTTGTGTGGAAAATGTATATCAAATAAATCAACTCATTTAAAATCTGTGCCCTTTTTTGGATGTTATGTGGTCTCCATCTAGCCTAGACAATATATTTAAGGTAACAAAAACAACCAACACAATTTGTTGTAAGAATAAAATGTGCTGCATTATCCCTCAGGCCTATTTCTAATTTGTCAAGACTCAGCTATGAGAGTCAAAAGAAAACATGTTGAGCTTTGCACAACTAAAACTCTGTCCAATCTGCAGTTCCAATGAAATCCCCCTCTACCTGCACTTCCTGGTTATACCTTTGTTTGTCCGCAAGGTGTCGCCCTCTGATGCACGTTGTAATGGCTCGTTTTGTGCAGGTTAAACCCAAACCAATCAACTCTTTACCTCACTCTTAAATCACCCTGCAGCCTACATTTTTTCTCGCGTTGTGGCACGAATAACGAAACCGCAGTGATGGTAAAGACACATTCCATTAATAGAGAGTGATGGAGTGATTTCACTCAGCTATAAGTTGCAGTTATTTTCCCTCACATAAATTCACAATTCAAAATTTAAAAAATATGGCTACGCTATACCCAGCGTTGTATAACTTTAGTCATCTTAAAGCAAAAACATACTCGTAAAAAAAAAGCAGGCTTTGGAGACAGTGGACGTGACGTCAGCTGGCTATTTGCATACTGCGCACTATTTATACTGCGACTGACGCTACAGCCATCACTCCGCTCCTCTTCCAACGAGAGACGTGCATCCCGTCATTTATACGACTCAGACCCAGGTGAGCGGTTCATTGTTTCTGTTATCATGTGCGGGTTTGAATTGAGTCTGATTTTATTTCATATTTACTGATGATTGATTCAGGGACTAGTGAGTGCGTATTGTTTCTCCTGGTCGTCTCACAATGTCTTACCTCAGCCGGCTGCTCATGTAGTCTTAAAAGCCGCTGGAATTGATCAGAAAATGCCTGATGGTCCGACCTGTTCAAAGAAATGCAACAGAAGGGCATAACATGTCTGTTTAATTTATGAAACTAAAACAAATGTCGCACGCTTTGTCAGTAACTTGGATAATGTATTTGGCTCGACTCGTTAAACCTATTACATTCCGTAGGACACATGCTCTGCCTTTATTGAGTCGGGGTTATTGTTCTGAGGGGGGGGGTTCGCTAGTGAAAGCAGTCTGCACGTCTAGATTGCATTGAAGGGCGGTGTCTCTTCTGCTGCACACGTTCACTAACTGACAAAAGCGTTTCTTAAATCGGGTGCGATAAACGCGCGCGCACACACACACACGCACACACGCGGCGTGTTTCCACAAAAACGCCAGTCTTTCTAAGAATTAGTTATTTTTTGCCAAAAGCAGATCATGTAAATGGCCCTTCGAGCTCTTGTTAATTCTGATCACCAGCAAAGCTGCCCAGGTGTGTTCTGATTGAACTCAATTGACGCGCCACTAATTTGAGTTTCCATGTCTGTTTTTAGAACCTTTGCAGAAATGGCTGACAAACCCGACGTCTCTGCGGTCGAAAGCTTCGACAAGACCAAGCTAAAGAAGACTGATACCCAGGAGAAAAACACCCTGCCAACCAAAGAAAGTATGTGACGTACATGCTGACTTTTTTTTTTATCCAGAACATGTATTTGTTACGTTAAACCTTTTGCGCTAATTTGTTTTTTTTTTTGTTTTTTTTCTTACAGCCATCGAGCAGGAGAAGTCTACATAATGGAGAGCAGTGCATTGTACATTCCACAAGCCTTACTACTTTTCTTTTACAATGTGTATTCTAATTGAGGTACAAAACCCAACATGGCTGTTAAGCCGCCAACTCGGCTAATGTTGCTCTGTACAGTAAGGGAGTGTGGCTTGTCGTCACCATGGGTTCCTGGTCATCTGTTGCTGTGGATGCATCTCTTTTTTTAAGTGTGCCGTTTGGAGTGGCCGTGTCATGAAACAACTGGGGGCCTACACTTCCCTATGATTTGTAACACTTCTGGCTGCTTGTGAATGCTCGCATAGCAAGCGGTGTGTTTTGTAAGAAAATCTGGAATGCACAAGCTTGTTAAATATTCAAAATAAAAAAAAATGTATAATGACTTTGTGTCCTTGTGGTTTTACACTGACAGATTTTCATGCCATCCACCTTGGGCTCTAAGAACCACTTTTGAGTAACCGTTTGGCCATGAATTTAGCTTTTATCTCAACGAGCTGATTTGGCAGCACTTTGTCTTTAGTGCTGTGAAGTTAACACCTGACCTAAAAAGCACTGATTCTAACCTGCTAAAGCATGCTTTGCTCCATTTTCAAACTACACTCTCACAGCAAAGGTTTTATAATGGAGGAAATATAAACTTCTCACACCTGGAAGCTTGTGCACCAAAAGGGAACAACAAATTGTTTCAATGGCCTAGGAAACGTCTAATATTTGAATGAGAACTATTTGATAAGTCTGGTGCTGCACCTACAATGACTGGGTCACTTAGTGTGGACTCAAAGTATTTTTATTAACCAAATGAGCTTTATTTTGTTCAGACTAAATGTGCCCATATGCTTGGAATACTAACCCTGGCTGCACCGTAATGACATCTTACCCAATTCCTTGTATATGGATAAAGAATCGGTGATTTACAGCTAGTAACTACTGATTGTAAAGAGGGAACATGAATCCTTACACAAGTTGATTTAAAACAAATTTGCCAACTCGGGACTGGTCATTCTATACTGCAGCAGTTTGAGTAAATGATGGCCTTTGTGACCTCATTGAATGTGGAAACCACAGCACTGACTAAGCGGTCCACAAGAAAAGAAAAGACCAATATACACAAGGAGAATCCTACCACATTCTGCAACACTGAGATGACCGTATTTCATGTGGGGAGAGAGATTACGTAACTGTCTATAGACAATAACAATGGGCTCTGCTGATGGATTGGAACAAGTTCACATTCATCCTCGTCTCCATGAGGCTGCATTTAATCTAAGATCCCTTTTAGTGCGGGAAAAGGGACATGTTGGTTTATTTTTCCATAGCCCTTTTAAGGAGCGCCAAATTTATAATCACATCTGTGATACCAGCCCCTCTTAAGTCCTCTCCCATCCTTATGTGCAGTTTTGCCACACAACAGCTCCTCAGTGTCTTATAACAATGTGTGCTTTGGGGAAAACAGTAGCCAATATTACACATTACGAGACACTGCCTTCTCCTGTTACGCTCTCTCCACACTTTGTTAAACTGATAAGTGATGCATGTACATAGCAGCAGACATATTTTCTCCTGACAACCTTGCTACATGAACGCAGCATTATGCTCATGGACACTTTGAGAGACGATATGTTGGAACAATCAAAATCTTTACTGTACCATAGTACTGAGTTGCCCTGTTTTTGCTGCTGCTGCTCCTCGTGTGGATCAGCCCCAGTCGAGACCTGATAACTGTCTGTGGAAAAGGGATGCAAATGACACTGAGGGCTGATTGTGGTGAACTTGGCTGGAGGCACCAAGAGGCCATCTGCCAGTGTTGTGACGGGCACCCTCTGGACCAGCTGTGGCGCGGACTGACTGCAGCTCACTACGAACAACACAGCTGCCTCTTAGACTGCCTATACGTAATGTGCCTTAAGAATGAAACCACACTGGGTATCTATAAGGCTTACAGTACACTGTATCCTGTATCCCAACAACCATACGATAGTGTTACTCCGCCTAAGTGGCTTAGAAATAAAGCTCTAGTTAAGTCCTCATACATCTGTCATTCACTCCTCTCTCGCATGCTCACTCACATTTTCCTTGCTGTCATTGTTTGGGGCTGTCAATCATGATATCAGCTGTTTAGATCAGCTGGTCTCTTCTATCCAATAGCATAGCGACACAATTACATCATTAGCGTATCATCTCGCTGCCGTCTCCTTTTAAATATGGTTGTCTCTCTACCTTCAGTACGTTCATGTTGCTGTTACGCGCAACTACGCCTCTCCATCTTTGCAAAGTATTCGTAGATTCATCAGCTTCATCAGCTTCATCAACTCATCATTCTATCAGCCTCATCAGCCACCACCAGTGTCTGGACTCCACAGGGGATTTATTTTGTTGCTGCTCAGGGCAGACGCCCCTCGATTACACATCTCCCTGTAGAGTCCAAGCGCCTGTCAAGACTTTATCATCCGTCAATAATAAACAATTGTCTTTTATTCATCTGACTTGTGTCTCCTGATTAACTTAACTGATCCATGCCGTGTCATGGAGGATGGCCTATGAACTGACTGTAGCTATGTTTCAGATCACACGGTTTGCACTGGATGTGATTAATGTTGCGGTCCGTGTTGAATTACAGTGTAGCAATGAGTCACAGTGTGAGAAGGAGGGATTTTTTGAAAATGTAACATGAGATTCTGCTTTACTAATGCAAATAGATTGACTACCAATCAGTGTCTAATTTTTTTAAACCAATACAATAAACAACAGGCACAAAATAATAAACCCCTGTTGATAATAGCAGCAAATCCCCTGACATCTTTTGGGTTTTTTTTATAGGAAATGCTACGAGGACAAAAACAATGCTTGTTCCCGCCAGTTGTAGTGTTCACATGCAGGAGGATGTGACAGGATCTCACAGCATGCTGTAGCAGCAGCGCGGTCAAACTCATCTCTGCTGCTTCCTCACGTTCAGATTAAAACCTGGTCAATACTTCTTGCGAGGTGTTTCCATGGTAGCAGACAGGAGATTTTAGCTTCCCAAACATTTTCACATAATCAGAGCACTAGATCAATTCAATGAAGCAGGCAATTCGATGACTAGGATCACTAGATTGGTGCAAGTACAGTAGCAATGATTTCAAAAATTCTCTCTTGACACAGTGTGGTGGTTTTACTGTATATATAGTTTGTCTTTGTCACATGATCATTGAGGTTCCTCCATAATACTAAGAAATCTTTTGGTAAAAACATTTTGTTCTTCTATTTCTTTACACATAAGTTAAACGGAATCCAATACCACGAATGGTTTTGTCGGTGTGCTATCATTTAAAAGAAGTAAAGGGTTGTAGGCTAGCCCGTAAGAAATAGCTGCTGTGTGAAGTAAAACAAGTGAAACTCAACTCCCCAGTAAACTATTTTCTGCTGGTTTGGTTTCTCACTGTGCAAAGTTTTCATTTCTTTTTTTAATTATGATAATGTGGATTTTTGCTGGTTTTTTTTGTTACGTTTCAGTACATAGGGAGAGAAGACACAGTATAAATAATTAAAATGTTTATTTCGGAGTCTATTTATAACAAATCCTAATGGTACCAAATGACTGACATAGAATAACAGGACAGAATAATAACAATAACAGAATAATCACAAATATCCATAGATGCATTAGGAAGAGGAACATTGTGGAATGTTATCGACGGTAAACGAATACTGTCACAAATACTGTCAGTCATACTACAGATGCAGATTGATTTATATGAGAAAGGTTTACTCAATTCTCACTATTAACCGTAGGTGTGATAAAAAGCTGAAGCTGGGACAAAAATGTCCATTCATCTGTAAAGGGAGGTTCAGCGTCTTTATGTTCCTGATTCAGAGTGAACCAAGAAAAGGACAATTCATCTTTGTCCTCATTATCATACCCACGGTGGGAAAAAGCAGTGCTGCTATTGTGTGATAGGTAGACACAAAAGCTGAGGGTGTGAGCTGGCCAATCCAGTGACACACCATAATGGTTGCTATGTGTGACAAAGAAACTCCCAGAAACGTGCTTGAGATCTGCGGCAGACGGCAGATTATCCATATATCTGGCTAACAAACCGATCACTTTGCAGGGACACACTAATATGTATCTGTGTGCAGGTTTTAATAGGAATCTCGAGGAAAAAGCCTGATTACCAAAGCGCATGCAAAGAAAGACAAAGAGTTGCTTGACCTGTTTCGTATTCTCTTAACCTTTAGTTAGTGGTGCATTCCAGGTGCATTCTCTACTAAGTTGGGGTTTGGTGTTCATTCCATTCATCTTATCAGTCCTAAGACTTACATAGCAAAGGTGGAAGCCAAAAGGCCTTGTGGGTTATCATGTGAAACCTGATGAAAATACTCCCTAGCTAAAGCAGAAGTAGATGAAGCAGATTCTTTAAGTAAAGTGATAAAAAAAAAAATAGAATCAGATAGAAAACGAAATAAAGAGAAGGCAGACAAAATAATTTAAGTTCTTCACGGAAAAACATTTCAACATATATCCCCATCACAATCACAGACACCTGATTAAAAACAATCAGCAGTCAGCGTCTTAAAGACTTAAAAGTCTTGAAAACATGACGTATACAAAACACAAACAAACTGAACTGAAATAGAGGAACAGGCATTAAGCCTGGATTTTTAGACATACAGAGGTCATGAGTCCAAAAAAGGAATCCCCATCTACCTGATATTTTTGAATATTCATAAACATCAAAATTGTAATATTTCCCTTTCATCTCCGTAAATGTTGTCTCAAAGCTTTTCTCTACCCATGTAACTCTTGAAATAAATGCACCACATCATGTCTAAATTATCATGACTAATTTCTTATTTCAGAACATTTCAAGAGCTAGTTCTTGCAAAAGAAAAGAAAAAAAAAATGACATGGCATAAAGCTCAACAACCATACAAGGATGCGAGGAAGGTTACAGGGTTATTAACACATAGGCATCCTATAATTCCAAGAACAAATGCCTCTTTGGCTTGCTGGACTACATGTTGTGCATTCTGACTAGCTAGGCAGATGTGTCCCGAGTGCACCGGCGGAGGAGATGCAGTGTAGTGTGATTCAATGTGACATGTGCATGCAACCTTTCAGCTGCAAGAGTCACCCTGGCGAGCTCAGTAGCTCACCAGCTGTGTCTGGCAACCTAAACGCCCCCGCTTTCAGCACCAACGTCCTCATGTACTCACAGTATATGAGTACATGCAGGAATAATTCACAGTGTTACATTTAGTACTACAACAACAAGGTGGGCGTTTAAGCTAGCATGATAACTGTGATCAGGTCTGACACAGACACAGGAAGCGAGAGGAATGAGTGACACACACCGATTTGAATGTGTGTTAAAGGAGGAGATAGAAATTCTGTGGCAGTAA